AATTAAAACCAACAACATTGAGGCTTCCAACGTGAAAGAAATTGAAATTGTTAATCTGAAAAAGAGATCAAAATGCATTCAGCCATTTAGTTGTATGTTAGATTAACGTTGAGCCATGGCTCTAACTGTAACGGCAAATGCTCATTATATCAGCAAGTGATAATTTTCAGTGGTAAGAAACATTTCGCTTCCGGATCTAATTGCTCTTCAATGGTAATGCTTCATTTGCGTTCGAAAAGTTATTCAAGCATCAAATTGTCTCGATATTACTTCAGATTATTGTGGAATTTAAAAGTTAGATTCGTTCCGACCAATTCGGATTGATTAATTTTTGCGATACATCAGAAATGAGTTCCACAAAGGTGTCAGCATGGATCGAATGAAAACCGTAATGGTACAAACTTAGAATTTGCTGACGGAAACTCAACAGACTGGAGCCGGAGGGTGTCATAAGGTCGATGATAAAATTCGGAAATGCATACCAACGAATGAAGTGTCAGAGTTGATCGCACAGACCGCACTATCAAAAAACAATTGTACTGAGAAAGCACTTTAGTAACCGTCGCGAACATTATGTAAATTTGTAAAAATTCATGATTTCTAATCACTAATATGCAATGACATAAAATTGCTGTCGCGTGAAATTCCATTTGTATATCGATCGCTCATTTGGAATTAGAAAGAGTCCCAATGAAAACGCATGAGCCAGACTGTAAGCCGAAAAAAATTCATTGCACTTATTAAACTAGTCGATATAACCATATCAGAACCATTTGTATACTTACAATTTGATAAAACGAAGTCAAGCCAAGATCACCAATTATATCCATCGGATAGACGAGATTCCGATCTGTATGCAGTGCCTATATGCTCCATTCAACATTGCGCATATAATCACATGGAACAAATAGAAACCGCTCCAAAAGCGTTCACTCATGAAAAGATACAATCACATGGGTCATTCCCCACATTCAGATTAGTGTGCCTACGCTTGTTCGCAAAATACCGGCTCATTCTCATCCGCTGAAAGCATTTGGTGATCAATCGCTGATCCAGATGGTACTTTCGCGCTATAATACTTGGTGATTTTATGATAGAGATAAATGAAATAATTTTGAAGTATTATTTCTCCAAAATGTGATCGTGCCTGATTTTTCACCTCATTCTACCTTTATTCGCATGGTACCACATGGAAAACTTTGAATGCGTGGGCGTATCTGAAACCATAGCACTCAACGTGGGCGTGGTCTAAAAGTAGGAGTGGCGAGATACCGTAGTTTGTGGGCGTGGCGGCTTACCGTAGTTTAACCAGACTGGAGGTATGCGTTTCGTCACGTTGAATTCAGTATTTCTCCGGCGGCAAGCAGCCACCTGTAATGATTTATGAAGGATTTTACAGCGATCAAGCGAGTGGAATTCAGCTGGTCTAAATCCACGAGCAGTTTTACAGATGGAACTTCTTTGGTTTGTTTCTTGTGCAATTGTGATCGACCATCTGATTTTTTCATTCAATTCTTGTCAATTATCTTTTTACAAGACCATAAGCAGCGCAGGGAATTGATGAAACGACAGAATCAGATACGCTTAGGCTGACCCGACATTCAGCTACACAAATTTATAAGACTAAAAAAACATCCAGTTGAAAGTTTAGCAACATCAGTAATAAATTCTCATAGTCCCGGTTTTTTGTGCGACTGACACACTGGACAATTTTATAACGCAATATCAGTTCGCCATTGAGCTCGGATAATAGTTTATTGATCGCAATTAATCATCTTTATCATGTAGATAAATGAGCAAATGATCTGATCGTTTTTCACATCTCAACTCCACCACGATACTCTGTGTTATGACATAGGGTTATACTGTCGCTGCAGTTCCACAGAAGTCCGGCGTAGTCGGCTGAACTGGAGCACCCGGGAAGTAGTACATTCCCATACTGAGTGCGCGGAGCTGTAAGAAAACAAATTCTGTAAGTGAGAATTTACGAGGAGCTCTCAGCAGATGTGGATCTCAATATCGCTTCAATAGCAAACAGAAGGATGGATCATTCTGTGATCATTTCGAATTGTAATCCCGGCAAGAAATCGCTACACTCCACGGCTTATTGATCTCAAGTTGTTTAACGAGGTTATCGTTGAGGTAGAAATGTTANGATCTCAATATCGCTTCAATAGCAAACAGAAGGATGGATCATTCTGTGATCATTTCGAATTGTAATCCTGACAAGAAATCGCTACACTCCACGGCTTATTGATCCCAAGTTGTTTAACGAGGTTTTCGTTGAGGTAGAAATGTTACGAAGAATTTGAAGGGTGCGATATGGAAATGTGCATGATAGAAGATAACTCACGTAATAAGGATCATGTGCATGTTTGATTTGGAATTTTTGCTCGGCAATTTGATACTTAGCCCATGCGGCGATGAAATTTGCCAATTTGAGTTGGTCTTCATGTGTCATGTGACGAACGAAATGACCACCCCAGTACACATTATCACCCTGAACGGAGTGATATTAGCGGTGTTATAATTGCTGAACGTCAACCAGTTACTGCTCGACATTTAGGATCATCCAACACAGAGAATGCAGTTTTGATGCGGCAAATGCAGTGCTCTTCCTCGTTACTACCACTTCATCTTGACCACAACATCTGTGGTGAATGTGGTGGCGTACAAATATTTGCCTAGCGATATTTTATATGGTCGCCGGACCCGTATTATTCGCAAAGTTCATACGGTATTCAGCAAACATAGAACATGCCATAACTTGCCAATATGCCACATTTCATCGTAATTTCCCAAATTCCCATCGTAATTTCCCAAAAATACGCATCGTGATGCATGCGTCCTACTCATGTTTAGCGCATGCATCACAATGCGTATTTCTGCCAGAGGTAAATTTGAATATACGGTGTAAAAATTTTGGATGATTGCTTGTTGCAGGCTTCAGCAGCAGCAGCAGCAGCAGTTTTGTAAGGAGCAAATCGCTTACATTTCAGATTTCTGATAGATATAAGCAAAAATACAATTGCTTGCCAGGTAGAACTATGATGACCTCATGAGTGCATCGAATGCTCTTACTGAAAATTCGAAAAATGAAGAGTGCTTAAGAAACTGACCAAGACATCGCAACCAGCGAAGTTATAGAGCGTCGTGGCGTTGTGTGCGCAGAAAGCAGGTGGCTTCGTGCAGGATGCTGGCGGGAACGGCGTCTTCTGAGATCATTTTAAGATACAAGTCTACATATATACATACTATTGGATTGTAATGTCATGAGGTCAATATTGTCAAAATTAGAAAATTTCCAACACCTGTTGAGTTTCAAATTCTGACGTAAATATTCTGGAATCTAACAGCTTCTTGAGTTAAGTGTCAAAAGTGATAGTAACGTTCAACCTGAGCACATCTTTCATATCGTTTTTGATATTCTGATGCTTCTTGAAGTTGATCGTCCGACAACAACACCCATGGCAATCCTGCCAGGTACACTTCATTACCCTCAAAATGTAACCATCAATATTGAATGCGTGCATATTGGTGGAGCATTGGATGGCAACTTCTGCTCTCGAACAGATCAAAATCCATCTTGCAATTTTTGCTTCCTCTTAGTCGTCTGATGATTTTGCAACGGTTAGATTTTCAACTCGTGTAGAATTCTTCGAACTCACCTTCACCGTACACTGCAGAGGACCTCCTTCAGAGCCCCATAGAAATATCGTCTGCGAGACTTGAAATGAGACGATAAAACAGAGCCTGTAATGCACTTTCAGCTGATTTGATTGATCCACCAAAAATTGCTAACATAAGGGAAAACAATGTGTCAAATTATTTGAGTGGTTGAATCGCCGATGGACGATTTAAACGCAGTAGGATATCTTCATTTTCAGCAAATGTTCCCTCTAATTGTGTTTCTGAATGAAGCATGATGCTTGTAGGGTTTTTGAGCAAAAATGAGGTTCTTTTATCTGATCAAGCCAATGGGAGACTGAAGATTCAGAGAAATCTGGCCTGCACAAAGGCTACACGAGTGTTTCACAAAATCANTCATATTCTGAGATCACCAACCGTTTCAATCAGTCGACCGCAAAACAGACTATATCACGTATTAGTTGGCGCTTACTGTTACACTCGGAAATATCAGCACTAAACCACATTCTAAGATTGATTCATGTAATTGCCTATGCCACCTAAATGTATGGAAGCGCAGCAAGCCTCCATTAACTTAAGAAACCGATATGTAAGCACTGAAATGAAAAACTGGAGTTTGGACCGAAGTATCATTCCAGAAACTCTTACATCGAAAGAGATCTCAAACGTTCGAGATAAACATCAGCAAATTCTGAACGTTATTTAGATCCAAACAATTCAGAGCAGCAAAACTTGTAAAATATTCGGTTTTCTTCGAATATCGCTCCGCCAAAGGCAAATTCCATCGGAATTTTCGATACTCAGCTGGCGCGAGTTGTGGTGTCTCGGGCAGTACAGGAGGTACACAACTGGAACTGTATATAACTATATGTAACGGTAGGCACGGACTGGTACGATCATCCGCAATTAATTAAATGTGAGCGATGAAACGACAACATCAACGATCATAAGCAGACATCCGAACGGATGTAAAACCATTAATTTTTTTTAGTGTGTTTGATCGGCAAGCAATAAAACAGTCCTAAAACTGATAGTGAGCCATCATATGCAAATCAAAATCAGAAGCAGTCAGAGAGAGAGCTAAAAAATAGAGCAAAAGTCAATGTGGAACAAATGAAACGAAAAAAAAAA